GAAATAAGACAGTAATGAAGTTTGCTGCACCTATTGACTCTTCCTTTCACAAAAGATTTCTCTGTAGCATGCAATGCTGTTTTATTACATTTTACCCATAGTAGAACTCCTTTAAAAATTGGAGTCAGTGAACTCCTCATCCATTCATGTTTGATCATGAGATTGCAGCAATTCAGTCACATCTTCAGGCTCCACTTATAGTTCTCTTGCTATGTCTACAGCATTTATACTACTTCTACTGAAGTCTTGAACCCCTCAAAACCATCAATTAGGGTTGGAATCAATTTCTTCCAAATTCCTGTTAATGTTGGTATTTTCACTTACTCCCATGAATCATGAGTGCTTTGTAATGCCATCTAGAATACTAAATTCTTTCCAGGAGGTTTTAAATTTACTCTGCTCATATCAATTGAAGGAACTTCTATGGCAGCTATAGCCATATAAAATGTATTTCTTAAGCAATACTTAAAAGTTGATATGACTCCTTAATTCACAGGCTATGTTGTGTTAGCAGGCACAAAAACAACTTTGATCTCTTTGTATATCTCCTTGAGAGCTCTTGGGTGACCATGTGCATTGTTAATGAGTGCTATTATTTGAGAAGGAATATTTTTGTCTTAGCAGTAGGTCCCAATGGTAAGCATAAAGTATTAATATTCACGAAACCATGGTATCAACAGATGTGCTGTCATCCAGACTTTGTTGTTACATTTATACAGCACAGGCAGAGTAGATTCAGCATAATTCTCAAGGGCAGAGAATTTTCAGAATGGTAAATGAAGTGTTGGCTTCAGCTTAAAAGTCACCAGCTGCTTTAGTTCCTGACAAAATAGTAAGCTTGTCCTTTGAAGCTTTGAGGCCAGGAATTAACTTCTCCTCTCTAACTATGAAAGTCCTAGATAACCATCTTCTCCCAATAGAAGGCTGTTATGTATACTTGGAAATATACATAAAACGTTGTATGTATACATACATACAACGGTTCAGTGTAGCCACTTTCATCAATAATCTTAGCTAGATCTTCTGGATAACTTGCTCACACTTCTACATCAGCTCTTGCTCCTTCACCTTGCACTTTTATGTTATGAAGATGATGTCTTTCCTTGAATTTCATGAACCAACCTCTGCTGTCATCAGACTTTTCTTCTGCAGCTTTGTCACCTCTCTGAGTCCATTTATAGAACTGAGAGTTAGGGCCTTGCTCTAAATTGGGCTTTGGCTTAAGGGAGTATTCTGGCTGGTTTGATCTTCTATCCAGACCAGCCAGACTTCCTCTGTATCAGCAATCAGGCTGTTAGGCTCTTTTGCTTTTTCTTCTTCATTTATTTATTTATTTATTTATTGGAAACAGTCTTGCTCTGCCACCCAGGCTGCTGTGCAGTGGTGCCATCATGGCTCACTTGCAGCCTCAAACTCCTGGGCTCAAGCAGATCCTTCTACCCCACCCACCCGAGCAGCTGGGACTACAAGGTGTGAGCTACAATGCCCAGCTAATATTTTAACTTTTTGTAGAGGTAGAGGTCTCCCTATGTTGCCCAGGCTGGTCTCAAATTCCTGAGCTCAAGTGATCCTCCTACCTCAGCCTCCCAAAGTGAGATTACAGATGTGAGCCATCATGTCTAGCCTGTTTTGCTTTCTTATCATTCGTGTGCTCACAGGAGCCAGCAATTTTAATTTTCTTCAATAACTTTTTCTTTGCAGTCACAATTTGGCTGTTTGGTGCAAGAGGTCTAGCTCTTGGCCTGTCTTTGGTTTTGACATTCCTTTCTCATTAAGCTTAATCATTTTTGATTTTTGCTTTCAAGTAAGAAATGTGTGACTCCTCCTTTTACTTGAAGATGTAGAGGCTATCGTAGGGAATTTTATCTCAGGGAATAGGAAGGTCTGAGAATGGAGAGAAAAATGGCCTGTTGGTGGAACAGTCAGAACACACATAACATTTATTAATTAAATTCACCATCTTACAAATGAATGCACTTTGTGGTGCCCCAAAACGATGACAATAGTAACATGAAAGATCACTGATCACAAATCATCATAGCACATTAATAATGATGAAAAAGCTAGAAACATTTTCAGAATTACCAAAATGTGACACAGAGACATGACGTGAGCACATGCTGTTGAAGAAATGATACTGATGGAGTTGTTTGATGCAGGGATGCTACAACCTTCAATTTGTAAAAAATGTGGCATCTGCAAAGCACGATATAAATGAAGTGCAGTAAATAAAGATATGCCTGTAACTGAAGGAAAAACATATACTGAACAAGTACTAACCCACAGAAAACTGATGTGTTAATATCAGTGAAATACACTTAAAGCGAAAAACGAAGAGGATCCTTGATAAGATTCAATTCCCTCAGGAGGAAAATAGTCTAAACTATGTATACCTAGTAAAAGTCTTAGAATATATAAAGCACAAATATAATTACAGGAAAAAACAGCTAAATCCACAATCAAAATGAGAGAATTTTAATACGTGTTTTATAAGTGATAGAAAAATAAAAAGATTAAGTAAGTATGGATATAGATGAATGTCAGACTAACATGACTCACAAATTTGGCCTCAGGGACAAATACAGAATACTACTCCCAGCAAAGACAGAATATAAATTTTTTTAAACCATATCTGGAACACTCATAAAAATCGACTGCATACTGGGCCAACACAAATCTCAGCAAGTTTCATATAAATGAAGTCATGTAGAACGTAGTCTCTGATTCCAGTGCAAATAAAGCTGAAAGTTACTTGAGAAGAAATCAATTTTGAAAACTATATTTGAAAATTTTAAATCCATATGAATACTTTATGGTTTGAAGAAGAAAAAATGTAAATTTAAAAATAGAAGTGAATGATAATTACTACATATAAACTTGTAGAATTTGCTAAAATCTACCTACAGGGAAATTGTATAAAGAAAAAAAGGTTGAAAATCAGTGAGTTAATCTAACTTAAGAGTTAGGGAAGAGAATGGAATGCATCTGGGAGAAAGAATAAAAGTAGTAATAAAGATAAGAGAAGTAAATGAAATAGAATACAAAAATATAATAGAAGCTAAATACAGCCAAAAGTTCTTGCAAAAGACTAATAACTTAGTTAATAATTAAATCATTAAGTTGCTAGTGACACTGATCAAGAAAAAAATACACATACTTTTAAGAATTAAAGGGAATATATTAATAGCTACAGCTGTAGCAAAGAATAAAAAGATGAAAGTTTATAAACTATGACAAATAGAAAAACTTAACTGGGCACACACTTATAGTCCCAGCTATTTGGGATGCTGAGGCAGGAGGATCGGTTGAGCCCAGAAGTTCTGAGCTATACCATACTATGCCAGTTGGGTGCCTACACTAAGTTCAGCACCAACATGGTGACGTCCAGGAGCATGGAAACACCAGGTTGTTTAAGGAGGGGTGAACTGGCCCAGGTCAGTAACAAAGTAGGTCAAAACTCCTATGCTGATTAGTAGTGGGATTGCACCTGTGAACAGCCACTGTACTCCAGCCTGGGCAACATAATGTGAAACCCTGTTTCTATTTTTATTTTTTTGAGACAGTGTTTCGCTCGTTACCCAGACTGGAGTGCAATGGCACGATCTCGGCTCACTGCAACCTCTGCCTCTGGGTTCAAGCAATTCTCCTGCCTCAGCCTCCCAAGTAGCTGGGACTATAGGCGCACGCCACCATGCCCAGCTAATTTTTTGTATTTTTAGTAGAGACAAGGTTTCACCATGTTGACCAGGATGGTCTCGATCTCTTGACCTCATGATCCACCCGCCTCGGCCTCCCAAAGTGCTGGGATTACAGGCGTGAGCCACCGCGCCCGGCCCTGAGACCCTGTTTCTTAAAAGAAAAAATTGAAAATGTAGATGAAATGCCAAAATTCTAGAAATGTTTACCAAAACCAATCCTAGAAGCAATACAAATTCCATATAGTCTTATAGCCACTAAAGAAATTGTATTACTGATTTAAAATATTTCTTCCAAGAAAGCACCAGATCCATAGAGTTTTACAGGAAAACTTTCAGGAATTTTTTCTTTTCTTTTCTTTTTTCCAATTTCAGGAAATCTGTTGCCCAGGCTGGAATGCAGTGGCACAATCATGACTCACTGTGGCCTCAACTGCTGGGCCTCAGTGATCCTCCCCCCTCAGCCTCCCAAGTAGTTGGGACTATAGGCATGCCACCATACCCATCTAATTTTTTTAGTTTTTGGAGCTGAAGTTTCGCCCTTGTTGCCCAGGCTGCAGTGCAATGGCATGATCTCGGCTTACTGCAACCTCCACCTCCCAGATTCAAGTGATTCTCCTGCCTTAGCCTCCCAGGTAGCTGGAATTATAGGCAACCACCACCACACCGAGCTAATTTTTATATTTTTAGTAGAGATGGGGTTACACCATGTTGGCCAAGTTGGTCTCAAACTCCTGACCTCAGGTGATCCACCCACCTTGGCCTCCCACAGTGCTGGGATTACAGGTGTGAGCCATGCCCAGCAAAAAAAAAAAAAAAGAATTTAAGATAGGGGTTTCACTACGTTTCCCAGGCTGGTCTTGGACTCCTGAGCTCAAGTGATCCTCCACCTCAGCCTTCCAACGTGCTAGAATTATAGGTGTGAGCCACTGTCCCTGGCTGAAATCTACCATTTCAGTGTTCTACAAATTCTTGTAGTGAATGAAAAAAGAGGAAACTGCCCAGCTCATTTTATGAGGCTGGGATAACTTTGAAACCCAACAAGGAAGTATGAAAAAGTGAACCTGGAGTCTATGAATACAAATATAAAAATTATAAATTATCTGCCTCAACTAAACTAAATTACTTGACAGAGAAATGATAAAAAGGTGCTTTATTCAGGGAGTTTCATAATCAGTGACTAGATTCAACTTCAGATACCCTGCAAAACATTTTGATGCAATTATAAATTCAATTTTTAAAAACTACCATTTAGCACTGAAAAAGGAAACTTTACGACGAGTGTAAGATTAGCCACATCTTTACCTCTCCAGCACTTGCACATTCCTTGGCTCTTCTGTGAAGTGCGGCCCATGTATCCTCATATCTAAAAAAAAAAAAAAAAAAAAAAAAAGGCAAAAATAATTTGAAATGCAAACCACACATTCAAAGGAAATACTATCTAAAGATAAATGTGGAATATCCTGTGGCACCAGAAGGGAAATACACAACAAATAATGGTGACATGTTGCAATGACACAGACATCAACTTCATGGAGCTTCCAGTGGTCAAATCTGTGACAATTTGAGCAACAAAATACATAATGGTTGTAATGAATTATAACTCAAAGAATAAAGCAAATCCCTCTGAGTCCATGGTGATGGAAATAATTGAATAAGTAAATCAATGAAAGAGAAGAGAAAAACTCTTCCTTACAATAGAAATCCAATTAGAAAATTTTTTTTTTTAAAACAGAGTTTTGCTCTGTCACCCAGGCTGGAGTACAATGGTGCAACCTTGGCTCACTGCAACCTCCGCCTCCCAGGTTCAAGCGATTCTCCTGCCTCAGCCTCCTGAGTAGCTGGGATTACAGGTGTGTGCCACCACGCCTGGCTAATTTTTATATTTTTAGTAGAGATGGGGTTTCACCACATTGGCCAGGCTGGTCTTGAACTTCTGACCTAAGGTGATCCACCTGCCTCAGCCTCCCAAAGTGCTGGGATTACAGGTGTGAGCTACCACGCCAATTAGCAATTTTAAAAGAAATGAGGAAAAAAAAAAAATCTCCAATTGGTAAACACAATAGTAATAATTGTTTCAAAAAGAATTTAAACAAATGATAAAATCAGTGGGTAAAAGCTCAAATAGAAACAAGATATTTACATAGTCTCAAAATATCTCTCCCATAGGATAATCATTAACTAAACATGAGAAAACAGTGTTAACTGAGGAGAAACCTGGCAGACACATCCTTAACCAAGTGATCAAAATTAATGTCAACAGTAATGAGACACAGCAACATCATGTGCCTCCTGATGTGATGCACTGGGAACGAAACAACACTACTCTTCCAGTGTTTTTCACAAAACAGCACTAACTTTCAGTTATTACAAGAAAACAGAAAAATACAAAGTACAGATATCTTGAAACGTAACTGGCCATTACGGTTTTTTGTCTGGTTTTTTTTTTTTTTTTTTAAGACAGTGTCTCAATCTGTCGTCCAGGCTGGAGTGCAATGGTGTAATCACAGCTCACTGCAGCCTCAACCTCTTGGACTCAAGTGATTCACCTGCCTCAGCCTCCCAAAGCACTGAAATTACAGACATGAGTCACCATGCCCAGTCTTGGCCAGTACCCTTCCAAAGTATTGAGGTCATGAAAGACAAAGACTACAGAACTGTTCCACGTTAAAGAAGATAAGGAGATACTGTGACTAAATATAATGTACGATCCTGGATTGGATCCTAGTCCAGAAAAAAGGACACTGGAGGGATAATTGATGGAATTTGAATAAGGCCTGTGGATTAAATTGTTTACTAATGTTAATTTCTGGTTTGATCATTGTACTGTGGTTATAGTAAATGTTAACACTGGGAAAGCTGAAATTGCTTGTTCTATTTCTGTAATTTTTTTAATAAATCTAAAATTATTTCAAAAAGGTAAGTTAAAAAATAAAACTTCTAAACTATTATTCATTTGATTGCTGATGTAAAACTTGATTTCCCATTTTATTTAAAATTCTAGCTATCCAGCTAATATTTCTCCAAACAGGAATACATATTTAATGAGTTCATACTGCCTCCCCTCACAGTCAGATTCACAATTTTTCTATTAAGTAGGAAAATCAATTTGAACGAGATACTAGAGTCTACATGCAATGAAGATTAAGGTGGAAGGTCACACAATAATACAGTCCTGCTGTTATTGTTGACTAACAGAAAGCTAGAAAATTTTCTTGGATGTATCAGATTATGTAAGTATCAATTAAAATCAACAAGTGTTTACTGAATGCTAAGCACTGGTAAGCACCAGAACTGCTAAGATAAATTTTACTTTTGCATCTTTGTTGTCTTGCTACTTAGCAGAGAACATGACACATAAGAGACACATTAAATGACTGTTGAGTGAGGAAATAAACAACTAATTATAAACAGAATATGCAGGACTTCGTGGTCAAATTTTCTATCATTTTCTTAACTTAGTGGGAAAGAGCAAATTAAACCTCACTTGCTAACTTTAGAATCCAGATCATTCTTTTCCTAACATCTCACCATTTCCTACTCTCCCCATTATTATATATGCTTTTCACATCCATCCTGGCATTATATATCACCCTCCCTCATTTCTCCTTTCCTAGTTCAGCACCTAGTTCATACATGATTTTCCTACTGTTTTCAGCATTCTCTAAACTTAGATTATTCCAACCACTCATGTTCTCTGCTCTACTTTTAAGCCATGAAGTAGTTTGGAGAAAGACATTAAATCCATTGTAATGCATGCTATCCATCCTTGTATGGGCCTTAGCAGCCAATGAGCACTTAAAATAAATTTATTACTATTAGATTGTTCCCCAAAGTACACATGGTGGGTGTTACACATCTCATACCACCTTGAAACTCATCCCCATCCAATCACTTTCAACAGAGGGATGAACTTACTCCATTTTACTGAGATAAAGATGCTGGATGTAAACTTCTTCAATTTTTCTGTGTGCAAACTCAAATATCTTTAAAATCACAAGTCGATGATGACGAAATAAAGAAACCACATTTAAAATGTATAATTCTCACATTCAAATAGTTATATATATTCTACATACACTATGGGAAGACTAGTGGAAGAGTTCATCATACAGTTAGGAAGATGAACACACATGTAAAAAATTACCTTATTTGGTAGACGAAGGAAAGGGCTAATTATATAGCATGAGAGCTATAGGAATATAGGAGAGTAACTGTAGACTGTGTTGCACCACATTCTTGGAAACATCATGATTTAGGAGATAGAGGGAAGATGTCAGAGTAAGAAGCATCAAGAATCTGTCACCCTACCTAGACCACAATCACACTGGCAGAATCTGTCTGATGTAACTATTTTGGGACTCTGGAATCCAGTAAAGGTGTGCAACTTCCAGGGGAACGTTTGGAGGGTAAATTGAGGTTAATTTCAGTTGATTTTAGGTTTGAGCACAATGGCAGCTACCCAACCCCTGGAGAGGCAGCCATGCACTTGTTCCTGAAGTAGCTTGTACATGGCTCATGAAAGTCAAGGTGGGCCAATAAGAACCCTGGGCTCCAAACATCAGGGAGTCTGTGTTCTGATCAAAATGGCTGCTTCTGATCAGGCAGATACAAACACGGAGGCAGCTACTGTTGCAAACCCCTCCTGCTCTGGCTAGCAATTTTCCGAGGATTTAAAAGGCCAAAGACTGGTTTTTGTCCCTCTTCTTTGTTCTCTTTTCCCTCTTGGAAAGCCAGACACCTAAAGACTAGGACATTCAATAACAGATGCAACTGTTTTTTGTTTCGTGTTTTTGTTTTTTTCCTTTTTGTCCCAAGATGGCTTACTAGGGACATCAAAAGCCAGTTTTTCTAAAAAAAAAAAAAAACAAAGGTACTGGTGAATGGACAAATTATTTACAGAAAACTGAGGGAAGGGAGCCAGGACCTGTCAGAGTGCCCATGGGAAGAAGCTGGGGTGCAGAAAAGGAAAGCAGCAAGAGCCTGGCAGAGATCAACCCTCAAGGACCTTGGAACCCTGTAGAACGAGTAGGTGGGAGTGGTTCCCTGCTTCCCTTACCCCTCCATCAACTTCCTGACCAGGAAACTGTTGGAGAGCGCTCCTCTGCCCTTGTGACCCCAAGCAATGCTATCGGTGGTGATTTGAAAACTTCCTGGGGCTGGAGAATCTGGTGGCCAACTTGTGCATGCAGGTACCAGATACCATATGGGTCTTGCACTGGCAGTGGGATGCTGCCCTGCCCAGGGACTCTCTGCCCTTGAGTCACCACACCACCAGATTCCCTGCAAACACACCCCACAATCCACTCTAACTCTGGCAAGCACAGGGAACCAGCAGTTCCCCAGGTAACTGTGAGATCTCTGGATATCTAACCCTCTGTGTGGGCCATCTCTAAGTAGAAGAGAGTGCAGCCCACCAAAATCCCCCCTTGAAATAGAAGAAGGAAATCCAGCCACAGTGCCAACCACTGCAAGGGGCAGTATCATCACCCAAGAATGGATGCGGAGAGGGGGTCATCTCTTGCATCCCCCTACTATGTTGCTGATGCAGCAGTGTTCTCCCTGCCAGGGCCCAGCACATGCATTCAGACACATGACCTATTTCGTGCTTCACACGGCAGCTTCGCTCCTGCCGAAAATGAGCCCTCCACAGCTCAAGCTTTCAGGAAATGTGGGGCCCAACTCCCCTTCCCGACACAGAGCAGCAACATCCTGGCAAAGTAGGACCAGTCGCAGAGTTGCCTGCTCTCATCTGAAGGAAGAGACTCTCCCTGAGACCATTTTGGTGGCAGCCCTCAGAAGAGTGTACCTGCAACCTGCAGCCAGGTACACTCATTTATGAAATGAAGGCTGGGAGCCTTGTGACGGGGCATGATAGGAAGTGGATCACGTTCTTGCCAGCACAGGATGAGGAGTGGTGCACCCACCTACCTTCTCCCCCAAGACCTCAGCACACCCCGCAGGATCTCTTCCCGCCATCGACCCCTGCCTGGTCAGGGCAGGTGCTTCCATCCCACATCAGCCTACCTGCCGGCTCTTACTCTGCAGTGCCATGTACTGAACTGCAGCCCGAACCGCACCACCAAATAAAAATCTGCTACCAAAAGGGCTTAGTGCTAGTACACAAGATGAGCCCCTTGGGACCTCCTTACCCTCAGCTCCACAGGAGATAAGGTGTTAGGTGTCAGTTCTTAAAGCCAATACATCACCATAACAAGCATCATCTGAGAAAGCCACTGCATAGAAGCTATCCATAACCAACGAACCCATATAGCATTCTGGCTCTCTGTAAGCACCCAGAAACAAAAGCAAATGATCATACACAATATATACCACAGTCACATCCAAATGATGGCAAAATAAAAA